TTAATTTCCCCAAAATTTTTTTTAAATTTTGCGCTAAATGCGAGCCGCTTCTACTTAAATTGGAAACTCCCATAAAAAATTTGAAAAAAACGTATTTTAAAAATTAAAAATTTTCCCTTTTTTTCTTTTAAAAAAATTAACTTTCCCAAATTTCTATTTCTAAAAATTTTGCAAGTTTGTTTTTATACTTTGTTCCACAATTCCTTTTGAACAGAAATGGGTTTTGTTTTTTCGGGAAAAATAAATTTCCCTTTTTCGAAGTATGTTTTAATAGATTTTTTTAAAAGGGGCGAACAAAAATTTTTAAACTAAAAACGGGACTTTTTTTTGGGGCATTTTTTTTTTCTGGTTTTGGGTTTTTATTGGGTTTCCGGGGAAAAGTTTTTCGCTAATTTTAATTTGGGGGATGGGTTCCCTTTTTCCCCAAAGTTCCCCTTTAAACAAGGTAAAAAATTTTCGATTATGATGGGAAATTTTTAAAACGTTTAAATAGGGGTAAATTAAATCGAAACCCTGTATTTTTCCCTTTTTTTGCATTTTAAAAACCGATTTTATTTTTTTTTTCGGTCGTCAGACCAAAAAAAAGGGTTTGAAATTTCCCAAAAGGGTCTAATGTTTTTAAATTTTGTGCAAAATGCCGGAGAAGGGGCCCAAATTTTTTTGAACCCCGGTTACCTTCCCCCTTTTTGTTGTACCCCTAACGCCGAAAAAATAGGGGAAAAAACGACTTTTTTAAAATTCCCGGGGTTAAAGAAAGGGTTCGGGGCTTTTAAATTTTTAAGCAAAGAAATTCCCGGGAATGGTGCAGATTTTTTAATATTTTTTTTAATTGTTTTTTCGGGAATCAAAAAATATTATAAAAACAAAGGGGGAAATTAAATCTCTGGAACGGGAAGGGTTTTAGAAAAAACTAACAAAAAGTAGTTTTAAAACCCGGGTTTAAAATGCGTTTTTAAAAGAAAGAAAAAATTTTTTTTTTGTTACAAGTATCCAACAAATTACAACGCTTTTAAAAAGTTTAAAATACGTTTCTTATAAAATTGTAAATAAATCCCACAATCCAAATTCGCGATGAATTGATTTTATCAAAAGAAAATTTTCTATTGTTTGGATGTGGGGTTATCGAAAAAATACACAATCCGAGTAGTGGAAAATAATAATTCTACATTGTCCCGGGCTGTTTGGGGGGAGAAGATTTTTGGGTAAAATTTTTTTATTAATTTTTAAAAAAAGGTTTTTTCCTAAAAAAAAATCCTCGAAATTAATAAGGGGTTACAACCCGAAAAGCCAAAAGGAAGTTTTTTAATTTTGAATGACTTGATGTTATTCAGACTTTTGGTATTAACTTTTCCTGGTCGTGGTAACGCGCTGGCTTTGTGATTGAGAGGTCTCCGTTAAATCCCCGGGGCCCCCAAGGGAAAATTTTTTTTTTTTTTAAATTCTTTTAATTTTTTTTTAAATGTCTTTTTTAAGGAAGTAGGCCCTGTATGCAAGGGAAAAATGTGGGGTTTTCGTAAAAAAAAATCCTAAATTTTTTTTTTTATTTCAAAATCTAGTTTTTGCAGAATTCCGTATGTAAAACTCTGGTGTTGCAAAATGAATTAAAAATACATAAAAAAAACTTTTACAGGAAAAGCATACAGATATACGTAGATTTAAATTGCAAAAAATTAGGGAAAAACCCCAGAACCCTTTCAGCCCTTTGTTTTTTTAAAAAAATTACCTGGCTATAGTAAAGCCAGGATTTTTTACAATTTTTGTGTTAAAAAACGTTTTTAAGTCCCTTACAAACCCTAAATTTGAATACATATGGTTTTTCTTCAGGGCTGGGTTCACGATATAAATTTTCCGCGGCTGAAGGGGGTTTTTGGGCTCGGCTTCAGGAAGCGGGAGAAGGGTTGGGAGTCAAATCCCGTAAAGGTAAATCTTTTTTTTTCAAAAATTGTTAAAGTCAAATAAACTTTTGGATTGAAATATAGTGTTGGCCCAAATTAGTCTTATAGTCAATTTACTACAAATTTAAAAGCTGGAAAGCATTGGTGGCACCTATTACATATAAATTCACAAACTGCACCCCTTTCTAACATCTTGAGGGCCCTAAACAAATTTAGCGGCCCTTCGTGCTTTGATTTCTTTTCAGTTGTCATATTTGGGAAATTCAAGAGGCGGATTTTTTTTTTCAGACAGGGGTCAAACAAATTTGATCTTCTAAGAAACTCGTCCCGTTTAAGATCTTGCTCGTAAAATGCCTTGTCAAAAATTTTCAATAGGGTTTCGTTACATTTATTCAAAGACCTTCAAATTCACTTGACCATTTATTTGAAACAAAATCAGAGTCTTTGATACATTCCCGTCTGCATCAATAGCCTTCCATAGGTATTAACTTTTTTGGGACCAAGATTTTTTATATTGAATCCACAGAATTACCTTGGATCGTCCGCTGAACGGGCACTCAATATCAAATAACATACTTGTTTATTTTCTTCATGTGAATATTTGCGAAGAGAAATACATATTTAAAAATCAATGAAAGGCAAGTAGAACTCTAAATAATATATGATTCAGGATATATATCTTTATTTACCTTGATTAAAACCATGATGAGAACATGATATAGTAAAATGTCTACAAAATTGTTTTAAATTTCATGCTACAGTTAACAATACTTCTTGATCATAGAATAATCATACGACTCAAGTGTCGCCTAAATAAGGTTGACAGGCGTTATGGGAGATAATATATCATACACATATGACGTATGAAAAATATTAGACCATAAGTTTATAAGCAATTAGAAAACAACAATTTCATATGGAACGAAAGCATTTGAAACTAATAGAAAGGACATTGATCGACATTGATCGATTGATTTACAGATGAACACACAATTACACAAGTATCCGAAAAAATGAAATTAAATGAAATAACGTTGACACAGAACATGCTTTAATTAACGTATTTGCAGTACTATATAAAAGTTTAATTGAAGCCAATGAAATGGTTTAATTTTCAATATTAATTACGATGTATCCAATTTAAAATAAATTAATGAAATTGTCAATATTGAATTGTCTTCACTCATTACATGTTCTCGATATGTATAAAATGAACATGATTGTTCTTGATTGTGTATGTTCTCAACACATTGGTTATGAATGTTGGTGTAGTTATGAAAGTCATATGAAAGACTTACATTGAATGACTATATATACATGTATGCACCGCATTGTTCAACTTTGAAACTATCGATCATTCACACCTTATAGTGTGAATCATGTACGTAGTATGCGATACATAAGATTGTGTAATTATAATGATATTTTAAATTTCTGCATTTTCATGTTTCCTAAACAGGAATTTATAACAACAAGAAATGATTTATCACGTGCAACACATGCTCTGTACGGATATTTCATATCTATCTTGTGTGATGACAAGATCTGCCCTGTTTGTGATAATTCTACAATGGAGTCTGTTCCCTTACAACAAACCAGGATAGTATCAGAGGGACCAATTGCTACACCACGTGGTTCCATTATCAGATCATCCTTCACAACTACTCTCGTGCCTGTCTTGACATCATATATGTAGACAGTATGCTCGGATCTATCTGTAAGCACCACTTTATCACTGCTCCTTATGTAAGTACAAGCGCTTGCGTTAACAGGATATGCCTTGTTCGGAAAGTTCATACTAAAATTATATGACTCTCCTGTCAGTGGTATTATTTCAACAGGTATTTGATAATCAATAGTCCCTACGACAAATTGGTTATCATCTTTTAAACATATACAATCATATTTCGTTGTTACTTTACATTTTCTAACTGAACTTATTTCATTAGCTTTACTTACACGTAGAATATCTTTTATATATTCCTTTCCACTTGTTATCGCTACTTCATCCTCAGATACAGTAACAACAGATTGTGGTGTATAAGATAACTGATATGATCCTACTTTTTCAAGTTCCTCATTATAAACTAAGATCTTCTTATTGTAATGATCCACAGCAACTAGCTTACCATCGGGTAGAAAGTCAATTCCTGTAATGAATGTTTCCCTGCTGTCATCTCCCGTCTTCTTTAACTGAATGGAAGAAACTTGTGTTAATGTCATCACCTTATTTACAGCATTAACACTTTCCCGTTCTTGGTATTTTAATGTCAGCTGTCCAGGAACAAAGTCAGTAATTGATCGTGGTGGCAGAGTTAATTGTTCGTCAAAATCAAAAGAAATGGTTATCGTCTGGAAGTTCTGACATTCCTCATTGACATTTCTGCATACAAAATTGACTTCATTATACATCTTCTGTTCTGCTATAAATTTTTGCGTTTGGGTTCCATTTTTGTAAATGCCATTAACCGTTTCTAGATACGCTGCAACATTAGCCAAATGTTTTTCGATTTGCGATTGCTTCTTGTCAAGGTAACCTAATGTTTCTTCCTGAAGAGATTTGGCTCTTTTAACAATGGAAACTTCCAAATCGTTAAACATTCTCATTACCTTATCCCGCATTCTCCTAACCTTTACTCGTACTTCTTTTACGTCTTGAACAAGTTGATATTTTGAAGTGATAATATATCTTGCAATATCTTCTGCATTGTTTTTGGCTTCCTGCAATATCTCTTCTAAATTAGAACTTGGTGACGTCATTTTCCCGGCAATTTCCTCAACCTCAACAACACTGTGACATTTACGATGATCAACAATGGCGCAAGTACTGCAACAAAGCTTGTTCTCATCTTCACAGAATAAATCTAAAACCTTTTGGTGTTTATCACATCTTGTTGCATTAGCTTCCTTTACGTTTAACAATTTATGACTTTTAAAGACTGCAAGCACGTTATGCACATCTGAGCAATCAATGCACTGGAATTCATTACACGTTAAACAAAACTTTTCAGCCACAGTTTTCTTATCCTTACTTAAACATGGTTGACACATAATTTCTTTGACACGCATTTGACACAAAGTTTCTTCGACACGCCCAGGAACTTCATAATCCTCTTGTTTATTACTTCCACAGTCCGCCATATAGATTAACAATGATTATCTATTTCCTAATTAAGTAAGTTTATATTCTCAACTCACAGTTAAGCGAAACTGTTACTGTGTCCGATTGAATATTTCGATGCAAAAACTGATTCATATCAGCATTTCATCTAGTATCTATCCATGTATTATGTACCGTATGTTTACAGTACATTGCTACAATAGATATCTGAAACGTATGGTGGCTGATTTGTGTCATGTCGTATGAGCATGTTTTCAGGGCAAAAATGCGAAAACACGAAAATACTTTTTCCGCGTAGCGGGGCGAAAATTACAATTTTGGCCTATTTTCGCCTTTGCTACCTTTTGCCTCGCCACATGAAAACACGCCACATTCTATATATCATGTCTTCATAATTACCATTACATTATTTTTCAATTGTTTTTGTTTTCGCTTGGGGTGGCGAAAAGAAAAAACACAAATTAAAAGAATATACCCGACACATAGAATGTGGCGCGTTTTCGCGTGACGAGGCGAAAGGTCGCCAGGAAAAAATCGCGATAAAGTTACATGAAAACACGCCACATTCTATATATCATGTCTTTACTGACAGTTTACCAACTTTACCAAAACGGAAACCCGCCACGCGAAAACGCGACAAATCATAACTTTATCGCGATTTTTTCCTGGCGACCTTTCGCCTCGTCACGCGAAAACGCGCCACATTCTATGTGTCGGGTATATTCTTTTAATTTGTGTTTTTTCTTTTCGCCACCCCAAGCGAAAACAAAAACAATTGAAAAATAATGTAATGGTAATTATTCACATCCTATGTGTCTTATTTTTAATCAGTTTGACAAAAAATTATGACGATTTTCATTTTAATATTCCAATTATCCTTTTCTATAACGCCTAAAGGACAAAGAAAAAATATTATGATATTTTGAATGATTATTATTCATTGTTTACACAAACAAGATAATTAAAATATGAATTTATAATTTATTTTTTTTCAATAACATTATCCCATCTTATTTAGGAAATTGTCTAACTTTTCAACAAATTATTGCTGGCTGTTGTTGTATTTGGAATGTAGCTGTTGGCTATAGCAAACACTCAGTCTACATTTTAAATTGTCATAGTCACTAAATCGTCCATAACAAAGAAAAAATTCATAATTTATGTTGTAGCGCCTCCGGACGAATAGTTACTTTTCGGAGTAGGTGTAAACCCCGGGAAAAAAACATTCCCTGATGATATTTTCCCCTACGATATGTAAAGTAAAATAAACAAACAAATAACAAAAACTGGAAAAATAAAGAAGCCGAACATGAACATATTATCATTATTTTCAATAACACCTATATCAAATTGTTTTTTTTTTAGTTAGAGGAGGGGGAAAAAAGAACCTGAAATTTGGAAATGTCGCGTTTAACAAGTCTCGCGTTTTTAATAAAATTTTGGGCTAGGGCAAAATACAAAGACCCCAAGGGCCCGCTAATTGCATAAAACGGTTTGCATTTTATTAATATAGAGAGTTCGGGTTTTTTCACATAAGTAAGAAAAAAGATCATCAAAATAATATGGCCCCTTCCCTAGGGGTTTGCTAAATTTACAAATTAAACCCAACCCCAACTAATCAACATGTTTAAAATTAAATTTTGGGGGGGGCCCCATACGCCGTTTTTTAGGGAAAATGGCAGGGAAATTTTTTTTAAATTAAATTTTCCCAAGGGACGACCGCCATATAAATGCTCTGTGAATTTTCAAAATTTAAACTTTTCCACTATTTTTAATTTTTTTTAAAATGTTGAATTTTTGTTTAAAACCGGTGCTAGGGGGTTTTGAAGGGTTTTTTTTTTGCATTTTTCCATTTACCGTTCATAAAGGGCTCAATCAAACCGACCCTGAAAAAATTTTTTTCAATTTTGGGTCGTTTTGGGCTTCTTTAGGGATTCGGGTTTTTTTTCTTTTTAATTTTTAAATTATTTAAACTTTTAAATAACTTTAAATTGGTAAAGAACCCGGCGCACCCAATTCGCCCAGCTTAAAAGTGGGGTAAAGCTTACAAATTTAAACATTTAACCCAAATTTTAGTGTTTTGGAAATTTTTTTTTTTAAAAAAAACTTTTATTATCAAAGATGATTCTTTTAAATTCGATCCGCCGGGAAAAGACTCGAAAAATTAAAGGCAAAATAGACAGATAGAATGTGGCCTGTTTTCCAGTGGCGGGACGAAAGGCGCCTCGCGAAAACGCGATTAAGTTATGTTTTGTCGCGTTTTTGCGTCGCAGGGTTTTTTTTTGTACCATACATGATACATAGAATGTGGCGTGTTTTCATGTGGCGGGGCGAAAGGTCGCTAGGCGAAAACACGCCATAATTGCAATTTCGCCCCGCAACGCAAAAAGGTAGTTTCGTTTTATCACATTTTCGCCCCTAAAACATGCTCATACGACATGACACGAATCAGCTACTATAAAAACGCTGAAGTGAAATGTAGCTAAATTGTATGAAGTATAACTTATGAAATAAGATATGATAATACATGTATATTTTTCATTTTGCGCTATTCGATAAAGTTCATAGTATCAATGGATAGTAAGTCTAAAGTTATAAACTACGTTAAGTGATTAATTCAATTTATTTCATTCATTATCTGTATACTTTTAGATATTTTAGAAATTATTAAAGCGGGATAAATATCAGAATTCGATACTTGCTCTTAAAATAGATTTATTTATGATTGTCAGGAGGGACATATAGCATTAACATTCACAACTGACAACATACATTTTCATATTTAATGTTTGACTTAAAACATAAATCATAATTTATTACGTAGCGACCAATATTTACAATTCATTTTGCCTTAAATAAACGTTAAAAACCCTAGAAGAATAAAGGTTAACGTTAACAGAAATATGTAGGATAACAGAAAGGTTTTTATAAGAGATACAAGTGAGTGGCATAAAATGTTGTAAGTGAAAAATGTTACACAGAACAATATTTAAATTGATATGATGATACTAGTATTGTCCAACTCTAATTCAAATGTCGGATTCGACTAACTTTCATTTTCGATGAGATGTCATGGAAATCATTACTAGTATTTTTCAGATGATATCCAATCATCATAATCTATTTGCTAACAGATCATCACTATTATCATCACACAACTTATAACGTTATACGTATTCATTTTTACATTAAAGTACCACAACGTTCATATTTTAGTAGTTTTGTTCTTATTGTATGTAGATTTTCAAAGAAAAAATTTTAACGGATACGTTCATACGTCTTCATTTTTACAAGAATGTACCACAAATGTTTATATTTCAGTAATATTGTTCTTATCATATGTATACATGTATTTTCATTCTAAAACATATTCTAGATAATCAATGTTTTTACATTTCCTGGTTGATGACATTTACATTTACAGTCGATACGTATGTCTTGCTTTTTCACATCTTTGCAAGTCGCTTCCAAACGGGCAAAATTAAAAAATGCTGTAGACTCGGCTTTAGTGAGGTTAAACATGTAGTATATTTGAGTAAATTTTATACATTAACATGGTGAAATTTGGAATTTAGAAACATCCATGTTTGTTGATACGGTGGTGATAGTGAATGCTACATTTTTTAACATTTATTTTTAAGGATTGTTTCCTAAACAGAACTGTTATTAAAGAATTTTTGCTCGTTTATTTTTTTTATCATAGACTAGTATCATATCATTATTATATAGATATTTGTCACCATACGGGTGACTCTTTAAAGTAATCTGTTACTTTCCTTGCGTAGAATCATCTTCATTAGAAAGCTTATTTTCCAACTCGATACATATATGTACATGCTCGACATGTACATGTAATTCTTACATACCTATATACAGATATATAAAAATGATTTATTTAATCCAAATATTTACGTACGTTTAATGATTATATATACATGTAGATACTTATGACATGTACATGCGCTCAATAATTATACTCTTAATACGGATATGTATACACATGCTTTAGACTTATGTCCACATGCATTTGATAATGGCATTCACATTTGCTCCATATATAAATACACAAAAAAATGCCCAAAAAATCATATCTAAACGTTTTTTTAAACTGTTATATATTCACGAATTCATTTGTTTTGTTTCGGACATGCGCTTTATACTGATAAATACTACAGGACCAGTCAATTACAAACTCCACATCTTGGGCAACTGGAAACGGGCCGATGTTTCATCTTCCGTCTGCCCGTGCTATAGTGTGTAAATGAGGTGAGATGTTTGGGTAATGTACATTTTATATTGTCACATTACAATGTCATTTGAAATGGATAAGTTCATATCTTGTTTTAGAAATGCTCATTTTTATAAAATAAATAATTTTTCGTAAAGTAAGTGAATTAAAGCAATACCTTTCTGGAAGTTGCTTGTGATTTTTTTATGAAAACGATCGAGGGCTCACTGAACAGTGGTATTAGCTACTTTCGAATTATCAGCACATGTATTTATCAGTGATAAGCGCATGTACATATCAATTTGTTTGGTTGAATTATTTTTACGCCCATTTCAACAAATATTCGGTTATATCTCGAGAGATAAAAGAGCACTTAGTCAGACTACTGTACAAGTTTTCCCATAGACGAATTTTTCTAGACGAATGATATACCTTTAACATTAATTTAAAATGATTTTGTTATACAAGGTTGACCGACCAAGTTTTTCGCAAAATGTAACTAAAGATGTTTATCCCACTATTCACTGAAATCTTCTGCTGATCACAGGACTGACATATTCTTTTTAATATGCATATATCCAAATGAGAAATCATCCTAGATACTTATAAAACAATTCATTTTCTTAGGAAAACAATGCAGTGTTAGTTTCTTTAATAATCGTTATTCTCGTAAGCACTAAATTTTCATTCAATCACCTGATGTCACGTTGAATCTTATTGTTTTTCCTGCAGTTTTTTTGTGATCAATTACTGGCCATGTTACAATACAATAATCTGACCACTAGACCCAATGTCCAAAATGAATGGGCATGCAAAAACTTCGCCTTGCCCTAGAATCGAACCAGCGCCTCCCTGATAATTTGTTAGATCCTCTTCCTATTGAGGTTAGACAACCTGCAACTAAAGACTTGCACAAATAACCGTCTTAGTTTGTTTGTTTGTTTCATTTTACGCCTTTTTCCAACAGTATTTCAGTTATATAGGCGGGTAGTTTCCTTACCATCGTTCCTGGAGAGTTACGCCAGTACTTGACTACCTTCCTCCGCGCTAAACTACCAAAGCATCTCCCGTGGATCAAACCCACGCCAGAGAGGTAACTGGATTAGAAGTCATCGACTCTAACCCCTCGACCACGGAGGCGGTTGACAATTTTCAAATAAATGTATGTTAGTATATAAATGGAGGGTATTTGAACCTTTGCAAAAGTAAGTTAGTACGTAAGCAAATTTTATTAGCGTGACATTGTGTTATGTGCAATATAAAAAACATACATATAACAAATTACAACACCCGGCCACGTTTGGCCTATAAGTCACTTTAAACTATATATAGATTTATAAATATTTCAATAGGAAACATTTAAAACATAGAAAAAGATTTGTGAAAATTTCATATACGAAGTATTGTATTTACAAGCAAAGCATATCAAAATTCCAAGGCCAGACATTGTAAACAATGTTAAGATATAGTTTTATTTATTGTTATTTTCGAATAATTCTGGAGATGGTTCATATAATAATTTACATGATTAAATACACGTAAGTAAATTGTCATTATGTAATAACACCAGTTCATTTTCAAAGATATAACCTTCTTCTTTTCATACTTTCAACAATAAACTTTGCAGCACTAACATATTGATATTTAATCAAGTATTTTAGTTTTTGAATATCAGACATATTGTCAAAGTCACAGCTACTCTCTTCACATTTGATAATGAGATTAACACGTAAAACGTTGTACCTAGAGCATTTCAATAAAACGTTAGTTTCAGCCTCAACAACATTGTCAGTACAAAGAGTACGTATTCTTTCATCAACACGTAATCCAACGTACCATACGGTTTCCAGTTTGAGCAGAATAATACCACATCTTAATTGCGCTAAATGCGACCGCTCTACTTTAATTAAGGACTACATAAGATTTGTATAAAAGTATACTACAATTAACAAAGTCACTTTCTTTCTGTATACCAATTAACGTTTCAATCTATTTCTAATAATGATGCAAGCTGTATATACATGTTCCACAAATTACCTTTTGAACAGAAACCGTTTTGTTCATCAGAAATATAAATTTACCTCTTCGAAGTATGTTTTAATCAGTTATTTAAAAGCGCTGAACACAATTTACTAACAACGGACAGCTATAGTTTATTTGTGCACGTTTGTTTCTGGTATTGTCCTATGGTATCGGGGCAATGCTTTTCGCCATATACTTGGGATAGTTCCTGTTTCAAAGTATAAACTAAACAATGATAACAAAAATCGATTATGATGGGAAACTTTAAAACTTCATAGGGTAATTAATCGTACCCTGTACTTTTCCCATTTTTCGCACTTTAAACGATTTTTCTATTTCAGTTGTATAGGGAAATTCAAGAGCGGATCAAACAATCGATCTTCTAAGAAACTCGTCCCGTTTAAGATCTGCTCGTAAAATGCCTTGTCAAAATTTTCATCGGTTTCGTTACATTTATAAAGACCTTCAAATTCACTTGACCATTTATTGAAAACAAAACCAGAGTCTTTAATCACATTCTCGTCTGCATCATTATAGCCTTCCATAAGTATAGAACTTTTTGGACCAAGATTTTTTATATGATCCCAGAATTACCTTGGATCGTCCGTGCACGGGCACTCAATATCAAATAACATACTTGTTACTTTTCTTCATGTAGAATATTTGCGAGAGAAATATATATGAAAAAATCAATGAAAGGCAAGTAGAACTCTAAATAATATATGACTCAGGATATATATCTTTATTTACCTTGATTAAACATGATGAGAACATGATATAGTAAAATGTCTACAAAATTGTTTTAAATTTCATGCTACAGTTAACAATACTTCTTGATCATAGAATAATCATACGACTCAAGTGTCGCCTAAATAAGGTTGACAGGCGTTATGAGAGATAATATATCATACAAATATGACGTATGAAAAATATTAGACCATAAGTTTATAAGCAATTAGAAAACAACAATTTCATATGGAACGAAAGCATTTGAAACTAATAGAAAGGACATTGATCGACTTTGATCGATTGATTTACAGATGAACACACAATTACACAAGTATCCGAAAAAATGAAATTAAATGAAATAACGTTGACACAGAACATGCTTTAATTAACGTATTTGCAGTACTATATAAAAGTTTAATTGAAGTCAATGAAATGGTTTAATTTTCAATATTAATTACGATGTATCCAATTTAAAATAAATTAATGAAATTGTCAATATTGAATTGTCTTCACTCATTACATGTTCTCGATATGTATAAAATTAACACAATTGTTCTTGATTGTGTATGTTCTCAACACATTGGTTATGAATGTTGGTGTAGTTATGAAAGTCATATGAAAGACTTACATCGAATGACTATATATACATATATGCACCGCATTGGTCAACTTTGAAACTATCGATCATTCACACCTTATAGTGTGAATCATGTACGTAGTATGCGATACATAAGATTGTGTAATTATAATGATATTTTAAATTTCTGCATTTTCATGTTTCCTAAACAGGAATTTATAACAACAAGAAATGATTTATCACGTGCAACACATGCTCTGTACGGATATTTCATATCTATCTTGTGTGATGACAAGATCTGCCCTGTTTGTGATAATTCTACAATGGAGTCTGTTCCCTTACAACAAACAAGGATAGTATCAGAGGGACCAATTGCTACACCACGTGGTTCCATTATCAGATCATCCTTCACAACTACTCTCGTGCCTGTCTTGACATCATATATGTAGACAGTATGCTCGGATCTATCTGTAAGCACCACTTTATCACTGCTCCTTATGTAAGTACAAGCGCTTGCGTTAACAGGATATGCCTTGTTCGGAAAGTTCATACTAAAAATATATGACTCTCCTGTCAGTGGTATTATTTCAACAGGTATTTGAGAATCAATAGTCCCTACGACAAATTGGTTTATCATCTTTTTAAACATATACAATCATATTTCGTTGTTACTTTACATTTTCTAACTGAACTTATTTTCATTAGCTTTACTTACACGTAGAATATCTTTTATATATTCCTTTCCACTTGTTATCGCTACTTCATCCTCAGATACAGTAACAACAGATTGTGGTGTATAAGATAACTGATATGATCCTACTTTCTCAAGTTCCTCATTATAAACTAAGATCTTCTTATTGTAATGATCCACAGCAACTAGCTTACCATCGGGTAGAAAGTCAATTCCTGTAATGAATGTTTCCCTGCTGTCATCTCCCGTCTTCTTTAACTGAATGGAAGAAACTTGAGTTAATGTCATCACCTTATTTACAGCATTAACACTTTCCCGTTCTTGGTATTTTTAATGTCAGCTGTCCAGGAAACAAAGTCAGTAATTGATCGTGGTGGCAGAGTTAATTGTTTCGTCAAAAATCAAAAGAAATGGTTATCGTCTGGAAGTTCTGACATTCCTCATTGACATTTCTGCATACAAAATTGACTTCATTATACATCTTCTGTTCTGGCTATAAATTTCTGCATTGGAGTTCCATTTTTGTAAATGCTTTGAATAGTTTCTAGATACGCTGTAACATTAGCCAACTGTTTTTTGCTTTCTGATTGCTTCATTTCAAGATTACCTAATGTTTCTTTCTGAAGAGATTTGGCTCTCTTAACAATGGAAACTTCCAAATCGTCAAACATCCTCATTACTTTATCCCGCATTCTCCTAACCTTTACTTGTACTTCTTTTACGTCTTTAGCAAGTTGATATTTTGAAGTGATAATATCTCTAGCAATATCTTCAGCATTTTCTTTGGCTTCCTGCAATATCTCTTCTAAACTAGAACTTGGTGACGTCATTTTCCTGGCAATTTTCTCAACCTCAACGACACTGTGACATTTACGATGATCAACAATGGCGCAAGTACTGCAACAAAGCTTGTTCTCATCTTCACAGAATAAATCTAAAACCTTTTGGTGTTTATCACATCTTGTTGCATTAGCTTCCTTTACGTTTAGCAATTTATGACTTGTAAAGACTGTAAGCATGTTATGCACATCTGAACAATCAATGCACTGGAATTCATTACACGTTGAACAAAACGTGTCAGCCACAGTTTTCGTACCCTTACTTAAACATGGTTGACACATAATTTCCTTAACACGCCGTTTACACAAAATGTCCTCGACTCGCCCAGGAACTTCATCGTCCTCTCCACCGTCCGCCATTTTGTTTAACGATGATTCTCTATTTTTTCAATTCAAGTTATTTTATATTCTCAACTCACTATTTAGCAAAACTGTATGTATCGATCCGATCTAATATTTCAATGCAAAAAGTTTTAAAACTGATATATATCTGCCTGCTATCATTCTTGTCGTATGTTTACAGTACATTGAAAGAAACGCGGAAGTTAAATTGATTCGAATTGGGTGAAGTACAATTTCTGAAATATGATATGATTATTGTTGATAAGTATATTTTTTCGGTTTGTATGGAGGCTATTCGTTGCAAAAAATCCAGTTTTTGAAACTTGACAATGCATATCTCGGTTCTACTGAACAGATTAGTAGAAATCTAATTGTCGATCCGAGAGTTACATACTGCACTGGTATTAAGCGTTTTGATTATATCGATTTCACAAAATGGAAGCTGGTAACATACAACTTAAATAAATTGCAAACTATATTTAGGAATGTATAACTTCAAAACGATAGAACGTACACAACACGTTTTATGCAGTTTATATGAAAATATATGGCAACATCACGGAAATAGACGAATAATAAATTTTTTGGATTGATACAGTTTTGCTAAATAGTGACTTAAGAACATAAAACGGCACATTATCTATATGAACATATATGGCAATATCACGAAAATTAAAAAGGCTAAGCAAATTTTCACGAGAGCAGAATATAAAGAGAGTCAACTCTTACTGTGCAGTAATAATGAGTACAAAATATTTCAAATTAAATGAAACTGTTATATATGTCGCATACATCAACTGCATTATAGCTGACTTTGAATTTAATACGTATTCTAGCACAGGATATTCAAGTTATACAAAAGTGGTTAAGATATAAACAATGTGACGACGTTGGTAGAACGTCATAATATAGGATTAACGCACGTTTTTCCGTGTTATAACGTCTGCAGAGTTCCGAGGAACGGTTGGTACTCGGCTCCAACAGTTCTGAGGGACTCTGTAGACTTTATAACACGAAATAAACGTGCGTTGGCGCTATTATAGCATAAAATTTTAAAACAGATTCGTGATGTATAGTTAATACAAAACACAATTACATTAAATTCTTGTGCTTGGATGGTATTTATCCAATTCTACATGTTTTACGTATGCGTTTTATTTTTCCGGGGCCAACAACTTGGAAAATTCTCAGAACCGAACGAAATTTTGAATTTTAATTGATTTAACAAAGCTTGACATTGGAGATTTATTATCTCAAGAAAAAAACAACGTTACATTACTCTACCCTCTACCCAAGACAAAACATGACCCTCATAAATTCTTAGAGACGGTAGAAAAAAGATCAGTGACATCAGAATCGGTTTTTTTTTTCAAGCAAACAAGTTTATTAAAAAAAATCAGACACTAAGCATTATTCTCTCAAAGAAATATAAAGAGCATTTATCACTATTAACATAAATAAAACAACATTTTCTCATATTCATTTTGTGTTATCTAGTTTTGTTAGTTAGTCGGAGTGTTAAACTGAATGACAGGTACTGTATTTGTTTACATTGACAACTGTCCGTTTCTTAGAAAGGGCGACAACCAAGATTAGCAGCGATGTCTATACGCCGTATTTCCGGCATAGTTACTTGAATGCTGCTCGTCGTTATGCGATTGAAGCCCTCGAATCAATAATTTCAATATAACAAGAGCGCATGACCTTTTTTGTTTGTTTACTGGGCCCTGTATGTATTTCGCATAGGTGAAACCGAGCTATAACAAGAGCGCGTGACTATGTTAACAAATGGTTTTGGTCCCGTAATAACATGGGCAAAATAGCGGAAAATAGCCGATTTTATGCTATATAATACTGATAATGAGCATAATACTACGCAAAAACTAAAGTTGGTCATTTAACATAAGGAAATGTATAAGGACACAAACCTCTCGATAAAGCTATGAATTGTTGAAATCGTTTACAGAACTATTATTAACTTTTTGTTTGACAATCAGCAGTCAGTACTAGAATGCGATACATGGATTTTACTTTTGGCAAAATGAATAAAGAGAACTGAACAGTAAGCATGTGCCTCCTTTCCTTGAATGACTATATTTGGTTGTAGAAAAAAATACCAAGTGTATAACCACGGAACTATACAAAGTTTACTATTTATAATTCCGTTGTATCACCAAAAACTTGTTAATTTGTCCCATTTTAATGTTGAAATAAATATTTAGTGTATCCTTGCATCTCTGTTTACCTCCATTGGGAGATATTTTGAGTCATAGGATGTGATTTAGCCTTTTATTGTTAAATATATGTAAGCTGACGTTGGCGAACCCCTTTGTATGCATTTTATTAAAAAAATCACAGCTTTAAAATTTGTGTATACATGCTGTCAATAGCTGTTACGTAGACTTGCTGTCTTTCTGATCAAAAGCAGAGAACTATTTTATGTACAGGAAATACTACACAGAATATGTATTAGGTTTTGTAAGTGATTGCTTTGTTAGAGATAAAATAAAAAAGGTATACATAAATTAGTAATCAACATACTTACATTTGGAATATTATTATTGAAAAAATATATAGTGAAAATGGTAAAATATATCTATACAGTATGGATAAAATAAAAAGATATGTACGAAGGGGTACATACAACTTTTTTTATGTTACTATCGTTAAAGGCTTTTTTTCATGTCAAGCCATAATTAATGTAATGGTAAATGCTACTACTACAACAGGGACAACAGTGTATTAGTATTTGGTCGTAGTGAAATCTCTATCAGATGTTGACTTGAAAAATTTGAAATTTGTCAATGTTATTTAATTAAATTGTCCATGCAAATTTGAATTCCCTCAGTAAAATTTATTTATCTTTAAAAAGACCATGTTGAATATAGTCTTAATAAAAATTTAAACTTCCTTGAAAAATATTTACCCTCAAACAACCCCATTAAAAGTTTGGATTGAGACGGTTACCTGGTGGGTTTTTTCCAGTTTCTTTTTCTAGGCAATGGAGTGTCTACAACGTTTCAAAACTTATAGGCCTATAATCATTTAAAGTCCGCTGAAGTTGATCGAATAAAGGCATAGAATGGCAATCATGCAAGTGAATTATGTTTGGTGAATAACTGTCATGATTTGCAAACACCTAAAAGGCTAAAAAATGTTTTAAACTTGACATGTTTGGTTAACGGAAACTTTGCCGCTGTGTGTTCCTGTTTCCTCGTTACTCTCAGAAAACCAGTTATGTTTTGTCGTTTAACAAAATGTATTATGTTGAAATACATGTTTACAATGTTAAATCGGCAAACTAAATCCAAGAATGCAACATTGGAGTTTGCAAACAAAGAAATACAAGTTGTATTTTGTCTGTAAACAAACTGTTCAACTCAGATTAACAAGGCTGGATTTTTGGCAACGAATAGCCTCCATAGGTTTGCTCTATAGATATATTACCAATCAATGATAGTAAGTTATAAAATACATTAAGGTGATTACCACATTTACATTTAGCCTCTGTCATTTAGTATAATTTTAGATATTTTAGTTAAGTTTAAAGCGTGATATCATAGTTCGATACGGATTTACTAATCAATATCAGACGGGGACATGTGGCATTGACATTCACAACTGACAACATACATTATGTGAACATTTATTAAATCTTAAGCATGCGTTCAAATGATTTGAACGCATGCTTAAGATTTAATAAATGTTCACATGCGATGCACATTTGCTCAATATAAACATGCGTTAATAACTGATATGCTATTAAAATGTGTTTTTAACTATTATATATTCTCAAATATATTTGTTTTTGTCCGGACTATATATAAATGGAGGGTATTTAGACCTTTGCAATATATTACATACTTTTGTCTTTAATTCATGTAGTAAATTTGCTTGAGAAATACATATAACATCTAAAAATATATTTAAATTTCAAATATAACTCAAAATAATATATAACTCCGGATATATATATATATATATATATATATCTTTATTTATCTTGATTTAATATTGTGTGAATATGATATAGTAACATATCTACATTTCGTAAATAGTTTGATGCTAATGTTAACAATACTACTACAAAATAATGTACAAAGAGGCACCTGAGGTAATACACCAGTACAGCTTGAAAGTCGCCATATGACCGACCTATACTGGTTGGTGCAACTTAAAACCCATCCAAAAACATGATATTACTTATTGACTTGGCATATTGTATCATAGAATAAAACACGACTCAAGTGATGCCTAAATAATGTTAACAGGCGTTATGATAAATAATATACAATACTGAATAGGTAACGAATGACATATGAAAAATGGATTATGTTAATTGCTTCAAATTTAACGCATTGCAATATTATTAGACCATTAGTTTATAAGCAATTGCAAAACAAGTAAGAAAGCAACATAAATGATATTGACCAATTGATTTACAATTGAAACACATTTACACAATTATTCGAACAATTGTAGATGAACGTTGACACAACATTTAATTAATGTCAATGAATGGTTTAATTTTCAATATTAAGTACAATGTATCAAAATGAAATAAATAATAGAAATAATCATCATTGAATTGTTTTCACTCATTAGATATAAGATTAACACAATTGTTCTGGATCGTATAACTTATCAACACATGGATTTGAATGTTGCTGTAGTTATGAAAATAGGACTTATATCGGATGACTATACATACATTTATGCACTGTTTTGTCTTGTTCAGCCAGCCCGCATAGCTCAATTGGTTAGAGCGCGAGACTTGTAATCTCGACATTGTGGGTTCGATTCCCGGGCTGGCCAACTAAAATTACTAATCAGTCTTTCGGATAAGACTTTAAATCGGGGTCCCGTGTATGGGTGCTTAAACACTTGGCACGCTAAAGAACCACGAGAAGCTTCTTCTCTCTGTATCTGTAATTGCACTATCCTCCAAAAATCTAATATGACTAATACTATTCTGGAGGACTCGCCCATGTGGGCAACCGGTTGCGAGTGTAAATAAACGCAAATACACACACGCTTGTCTTGTTCACACTGAAACTTTTACCATTTTCACATTTTAGTGTGAATCATGTACTCGTATGTACTATAAGATACAGATGGTTGCATAATAATAATGATATTTTAAATTTCTGCAT